TGGAGATATTTGAACCATTTGAAGAATGCTCTCAGTGTGACATCCGAATTACTCGTAAAAAAAAAAAAACCCACAAAAAAAAACACGAGGCCAATTTGAGCAACATCTGTCCTGCGGTTTGGTCTTCACACAGTTTGGTGGGCGCAGTGGGCTTTTCTCAGCCTTCAAGATAACATGCTTCTTTTCATTTTTGGCTTTTTCATTAATATCTTCCCCAAGCAGCACGTTGGTCTGATAAGGAGGGAGCAAGAGCAAGTAGAAGACACACATTTCTGTTTGTACATTTTGGTGGGAAGAATCGGGCATTGTGTACTCGTACTCATCTGGGCCCTCATGGGAAATACACAGCAACTAAATCAGTTGTTAGCTTTGTGTGTTATCTTTTAAGATGAAAGGACACTGAAAACAATGAAACTGCTGCCCTGGGGTTTCAGTTAGAAGGGGAAAAAAAGCAACTGGAGCGAAGAATGAGACCTTTGATCTGTGCAGTCAGTCCCATTGAGTTAGTCTGAGACTGTACCCAGAAATAGAGAAGACAGGGGTCAAGAAAAGAAAAAAAAAGGTCCCATTCCCGGTTCACAGCAGTTGCCTGCAGAACTTTTTGCAGAAACAATCATCCTGTGCATTGTTTTAGAGCTATTATTAGGGCTACCCCCCCAAAAAAGAACATCTGTACTAAGTCACCATTAACTCTGCTTTCTGACTCTGTTTTTTTGTCTTCATTCAAGATGAAATGTGACACGAGGCTGTGGGAATTAACATTTTAGACAGCTTTAACAAGACATTTCACCAAGTTGCACATCATCATTTAAGTTTCATCAAAGCAGACATAAACTGTGACCACTTAATATTTCAAGCCACTAAATTGGCAGGCCAAAAAAAAAAGGAAATTCATTCATTTGTTGTGTTCTTGTGGCCCAGTAGTCAAAGATACACACACACAAAATATAACCACTATATTCCCATTTTGGTTTCAGCTAGGGGCCGTAATTGCATTTACTGTAAGCTTATAAAAACTTGTTACAAAATTGCTAATATTCTTTGTATATGCTGTACGTGTAAACTGTAGGCTGCTAAAAGCGGCTGATTTGGGAATGTCTGGCTGCTCGTTTTTAGTTCTGGGGTACTGGCAGACGTTGGTGCACAGTCACTGCAGCCTGGCCTGTCTGCTCTGGTTTCATAAGCAGAGAGAGCAAATGACCTATATACTTCTCTGAGGGAGGGGAAGTCACCTTGTTGGTGGACCAGCAGGCAGGCAGGCTGGCACGCAGCGACAAGGCTTTAATGTGCGGCACTATTAAAAGGTTGACCACTGACTCGATATTAGAGGCATACTTTAGAGAGACCTCTCATCTGCTCCTCGTGTTGCTCTTGGCCGTGAAACTTTCCGGGGCTGTTTTTCTTGGATTGGATTGTCTTTCCCTTAATGCAGTTTGGTGATGGTGTGAAAAGGCCAATGTATGGGGGGAGTATTCAGCATATAAACATGCTGGAAACACATCTTGATACGTATTCGTGCACGCACACTTGCACTCACATTAAGCTGAAACCATGAGGCCCGCTGCCAGAAAGATCAAGTCAGACAAACACCTCACCAGAGACTCCTCTAAGCGTCCTAACAAATTGAATGTGTGTGTAGATGGACAAGAGGGAATTAGATCAGTGGTCCTGATTGTATCTGAGTGTGCTGTTGCTGCACCCCTTTCCAGCTCGTCCCCTGGAGGAAATGCGTGTGCATGAGAGAAAGAGACTGGGAAAGAGACAGAGAAAAGGGGGGGGGGGCAGCAGGAATGATGAAGGCTGTACGGAGAATGTTAACCAGACAATCACCTTGCATCTTATTGATTGAGATGGAAGAGAGGTAATTAGCACAGAAAAGAAGGGGAAGCTGAGGCCACTTTCAATGTTTTGATACAAGGTGTTCTCTCTTTGTACCAATCTACATATTGTGTTCTTTGTGTGTTTGAGCATGAAGGGAAACGTTTTGTTAAAGATTATAGTGAATGTCCTGATTTTTTTTT